CCCCCAGATAGTGTGGGGGTGGTTCTTTTTTTTTTCCTCTCATTTCTTCTTATATAGTTGTGTAAACTAGCCTCTCGTGTTTATCACGCTGAACTACAACAATTTCCAGGTTATATATTTCAAGAAATTTCCTGAAGTTTTCAAATCTTATTTCACCTTGTTCTTAAAAAAGTTTTAAATATATTTTTTTTCCCAAATAAATAGAACATGTGCTTCTGTGACTGACACAGAAATAAGTATCAAAAGTATGGATAACAGCCAGGTGTGGTGGTGCACCCCTGTAATTCCAGCAGCTTGGGAGGCTGAGGCAGGAGGATTGCAAATTTAAAGTCAGCCTCAGCAAAAGCAAGGCTCTAAGCAACTCAGTGAGACCCTGTCTATAAATAAAATACAAAATAGGGCTGGGGATGTGGCTCAGTGGTTGGGTGCCCCTGAGTTCAATCCCCAGGACCAAAAAAAAAAAAAAAAAAACCCACAGATAACAAGGCTAGCACACATAAGGTACTGGGTTCAATCCCTAGCACTGGAGGGGGGAGTGGGAAGGAAGGAAGGAAGGAGGGAAAAGCAAAAGGACAAATGAGATTTTAAAACTTCTGCATATCAAAGAAAACCATCAATAGAGTGAAAATACAGTCTACTAAATTGGAAAAATATTTGCAAATCATCAAAATCTGTTAAGGTGTTAATATCCAGAATATATGTTTTAAAATAAACAAGAAAACCCCCTAAATAACTCAAAATATGATCAAAAGACTTGAATAGACATTTTTTAAAGAAGATATACAAATGGCCAATAAGCATATGAAAAGAGCACTCATCATCAGAGAAATACAAATCAAAACCACAATGAATTATCACCTTAAACTCATTAGGACAGCTACTGTTTTTTTTTTTTTTTTTTTTTTTTTAAAAAAACTAGTAATGAGTTGGTAAGAATGGAGAAAACTTGGAACCCTTGTACTGTTGATCAGAATGTAAAATGGTAAAACTGCTATGCAAAATAGCATGAAGAGTCCTCAAAAAAGTGACAGCCAGATTAATTCAACAGCTAAAATTCCCTCCTTTCCCCACCTGTGGCTACCACCACCTCCTTCCCAAACGGGTCTCAGAATATGTAAAAATTTTGTAGATGGTAAAGACAGCATTTCAAATCATGGAGAAAAGAAAGGACTATTTACTGAATGGTTGCAGAGCAAGGGTATAATACTAAGTAAAGAAAAGTAGACTTCTGTGTCTCACTAAAGACCAAAATAAATTTCAGCTAGATCAAAAAGTCTTTAGTGTAAAACTATGAAACCACATGACACTAAGAAAAAGGCTTAGGTGTGTGATTTTGGGGTAGAAAATGTTTTCTTCTTAAGCAAAAAGCAAACAAAAAAAAAATTTTGGGGAAAACTGACATATTTAACCACGAAAAAATTAAAGAATATTGTGTATGGACTTTAAGACAGGTGGGCCGTTTTGATCTGATAATTAGACTTACAGAAATTCATCCTAAACAGAATCAGAGGCACACAGCAAACACTTGTGCAGAAGGATGTTAACTGACATGTTCCCATGACAATGAAACTTTCCAAACATTCTAAATGTTCCATAATAAAAACTTAAAATGGTTAGTGCTCTGTTCCAAAATCATGCTGGGAAAATTAAGGAGTAGCAATAAAAGCATAATTAGAAATATAACTATGAATATAATTGGCCAAAGTTGTGATTGCTCAGGAAAACAAGAATGAGACTTCAGGTGGGGCTTTCTTTTTTTGTACTTTTATATCTTCAAATATAATCTGACCGTTAGCTAATTGTATGTGTTACTTCTGTTCAGAAAAAAAAAAAAACAAAACGAGAAGCATAAAATTGTACAAACAGGATTCTACCTTAAAAAAAAATCATTAGAATACAAAGGCCTAGAAAAGAGAACATCCAGGACTCTGGCTGTGGCTCAGTGGTAGAGGGCTTCCCTAGCACATGTGAGGCACTGGGTTCAATCCTCAGCACCACCTAAAAATGAACGAATGGTTAAAAAAGAAGAAGAACATCCAAGTACTGATTATAGTTTTTCACTATGTGGCTATTTATTGTCTTGGCATCTTTTTGTACCTTGAATTTTCAAAACAAATAGGAAGTTCTTTTATAATCAGAAGATTATGTTATTGGTACTGGAGATTGAACCCAGGTATACTCTACCACTGAGCTATATCCCAAGTCCTTTTTTTAATTTTTTAATTTTTTTGGTACCTGGGATTGAACCCAGGGGTGTTTAGCCACTGAACCACATCACCAGCCCTTTTTTAAAAACTTTGAGACAGGGCCTCATTAAGTTGCTGAGGCTGTCTTTGAACTTGTGATCTTCCTGCCTCAGCCTCTCAAGCTGCCCTGTTTATTTTTTATTTTGAGAGAGTCTGAAGTTGCCCAGGATGGCCTTAAACTTGCAATCCTCCTGTCTCAACCTCCCGAGTTACTGGGATTACAGGCATGTTTCAATTTGCCCTGCAGAAAAAATACTAAAAATGAAATATGTTATCATAAAAAGTATGCTTTCTAATTTGATGAATTTTTCATTATTTTATGTCATCATGTCCATCTTTTTATTCCCAAAAATGAATATTGCAGGTACTATAATTGAACTTTTCTTGACTTTTGTCAACAACAGAACAATACCCAATAGAACATCAAATCATTAATGGTCAGCTGATTGTGTGCTATTAGTCTAGATATCAATTCTAATAGAGGGGAAGCCTTCAGAGTTATTACTGAACCAACCAATATTAAATGAGATTTAAGACTTCTATTCAGCCAGTCATGGTGGTGTATACCTGTAATCCCAGCAGCTCAGGAGGCTGAGGTAGGAGGATGACGAGTTCAAAGCCAGCCTCAGCAACTTAGGGAGGCCCCAAGCAACTCAGCGAGGCTGTATCTCTAAATTTAAAAAAAAATTATATATACATGGCTAAGTGGTTAAGCACCCCCTGGGTTCAATTCCTGGCATTAAAAAAAAAAAAGAAAAAAGAAAAAAATTCTATTCAGTTGTAAGTTCACATCATACAGGCTTCTCATTTCAGTGTAGACTTTTAGGCATCACATATGTGAATGTGCAAAAGATTTCCTCCTGTACAGAAGTGAATGTGGGCACTACTGCCTGAAGGTCAGACCAGAGGTAGGTTTGCCCAAGAAACAGTAAACCCAAGACGAGAAACACATAGCTGGTGAGAATTGAAGACAGCTCTTTTTTGGTCTTCTCAACACAACCGCCAAAGGTGGAAAAAATGTCTCACCACTCGCTGCTCCTGGTAAATGACCCAGACCAAAAATATGCAAGACTCACACGCCAACACCCATAATTCTAGGAAGTTGGCCATCATGAGTCACGAGCTTTTCACGGACCCTTCTTCTGCATACATTCCAATCCGTTCCTCCTTCTGGCCTAGGCTGTCCAGCTGTTGGCTATTTCTGACATTTTCTTCAAGGATGCCTTTGAAGCTCATTTTAACTCATCCAGTCCGAATTTAAATGTTCTAAAGGGAGGGAAGATAAGTAGTGGGCTCTGCCTCATCCTGAGACTCTGCTCCCCACCCCACTTTGTTTGGAAGAGCCCAAGAATGAGGGGTCTGTGAGGGTCCATTTATTTTGAACAGCAGGATCAGTGGTTCTGAAGTGTAGCCCTTGGGCCAGAAGCACCAGCACCACTGGCCACTTACTGGTACTGCTTACTGAGCCACACCTCAGACCACTTGAATCAGACAGTGGGGGTGGGGCTGTGACCTGTTTAACAAGCTCCCGGTGATTCTGAGACTACCTAAGTTGCAGAACCACAGGTCTGGAAGAATAAGGGGAATAAAAAGCCAGAATATAATAAGCCTGGGAGATTATGGACAAGCAGAGATGAAGCCTGCCCTTGCTATAGGCTCTTTGTTCTTGCTCGTTTCTTTTAAATGTCAAGGGCCCTGTTCTATGGTTACTGCCTTCCATGGTCTCCCCCACAAAACTGGTATCTTAGAAGCAGGGACTAATGAAGCTGAGCACAGCTTAGGATGAATGAGTGCTTAAATTGGAACCAAGGGAGTCTTTTGGTGTTCCCAGCACCACCACCACCACCCCCCCGAAAAAAAAAAAACCTTTATAGATTTCCCCTTTATCAAATCAAACTGCTTAACTCTTTGTGTAGTTCACATACACCTTCCCAAACACTATCCCTCAATGGGGTTGCCTTGGTGTCTGTATTTTGCTGTTAGTTATATACCTCTATTATTTGGGTTGAACTTTGGGGAAGCTTAAATTACTTACTCTATTACATATACATTTATCTGGTATGTAGCTTTCAGAATTCTTTAACTTAAAGATGAAGCTTCTACATGACACTCATCTCCAACATTTACTGTCACACTGTAGATCTTACAATACTGTTGATCACTTAGGAAACGAGTGTCAACCAAGCTGATCCAGAGGCCCAAATCAATGGGCATTTTTTAGTAAATTACTAACAAATAGAGAAGCTCTCTTTCTATTGAGATTGCCCGTTATAAAATACACACTTGGGGCTTCTGAGCGTCATTATGGAGAGAGGGTCCACCAGAGGCTAAAACCCATTGGTGGAAAGAGGGAGAGTCAGAGGGGCAAAGTGCTGACAGCATCAGCTGTGATATGAGCTGGAAGAAACCTTTATTGGTTAAACCACTGGGTCTTTGAACTTGTAGCCATAAGGAAAGCCTGTGAATGTACCCCAAATCTATGCAGTAACACTCTTCATCATAACCCCCTGCCTAGTGGTTTGAGAACATGAGGTCTTGAACCCCACCTATGTTTATACACTAGAAAATAGCTAAGTGCCAGGCATGGTGGTGCACACCTGTAACCCCAGCTACTCTGGAGGCTTAGTGATAGAGTGCCCTGTGTTCAATCCCCAGCCTCTGTGTCTGTCACAAACACACACACACACACGCACACACAGAATCAAAGACACACTTTTTGAAAGTGTATTAATTTTAAAAAAAGCTACAAAATAGTAATTATTACAAAATATAATTTAATTTCACTATTATTTACCACAAAAATTTAAAAATATCAATATACAGACAAGAGCCAGTGAACTGGAGAGAGCTAAAAACTGTAGAAAAGGCAAATCTACACTTGAGAACATATGAGCATCGGGTTCAGAGAGCCTACCCCAGACTGGACGGGTTTGCTAAGGCCAGTTCTCACGAGCAGCACATCTGGGAAGCTCCCTACACCAAAGTTCTTATATTATGTGAGAAGGCGTCCCCAGACGTCCCTTGGAAAGCATTTCTCATCAACCAACCCACACCAGAGAAGCTGACTCATTCTAGGCACAGAAATCTTAAATAATGTCTCTCACAGGCCCCAGGGAGCTGGGGAAAGTTAATCTCATCAAAACACAGCACTGTGAGAAAGGAAAGGTGGCACCTAGTGGCCGCTTAGCAGTTCTTCTTTATGGCTTCTTGACAATGCTGTCGGCCCTGCCCTGCCCTGAACAGTGTTGGGCAAATCTGAGTCTCTAATTCCAGAGCTCAGCGATGACATACCCGAATGGCAGGCACATCTCTAAAGCAGGATCTGAAACAGAAACCACCAAACACAGTCTGGTAACTAGGCATGGGCTAGTCCACATCCTGGTGCCCTAGACTCCACAGAATGGGACTCAAGAACAGAAGTTAATTTATAGGAGACAAAAGTAATATGGTCTTTTCTGTTGTCACTGTAGATACACACTTCCCTTCAGTTTCATTATTCACTAATATTCTCCACTCTGTATTTTCCTGTTTCCCAAAAGATTTTCAAATTCAGTGACAGATGGTGTCAACCTATAACTCAAATTGTATTTGACTGTAGGCTATGTAGTAAAATGTAGACATGTAGTAAAATGTCTGATCAAATTTTTAAATCCGGCACATGACTAGAGGCTCAGTTACTTGTACTTAATCAAGGATCAATAAATCAGGTTGACTGTTGAACAGTAGGCAAATAGACATTAACACTAGTGGTCTGAAAAAGATCAATAAATATCTCTCAAACAGTATTTAGAGGTAAATGTCATCCTGATGGTATAACCTTTGGTCTACTTTAATAATATCCACTTGATGAATATTATTCATCTAGAGCAGCACTGTCCAAAAGAAAGAATGAGAGCCATGTGTGTGATTTAAAATTTTTTAGTAGCCACATTAAAGTAAAAAGATACAAGTATAATTGTAATGTTTTACTTAATTCAGTATATCCAAAATAACATTTGCATATGTAATCATTATAAAATTAACATGCTATTTTACATTCACATACTAAGTCTGATGTGCTGCAGCCCCAGCATGTTTTACAATACAAATTTTACAATTTGTATTGTAAAATACAAATCTGGTTTGTATTTTACTTCGATAACACCTCTCAGTTTGTAACAGCCACGTTGCAAGTGTTCAATGCCACATGTGGTAAATGGCTACAGTAAAGGACAGTCCAGTGCTTAAGTTCTATGGATTAGAGTCAGAGTCACAGCTGGGAGTAAACTCAGAAAGCAAACTTTTTTTTTATATAAATGAGGAAACTGAGGCACAGAGTTTTAAATGGCTACACAGGGACTCTGGCTACACAGTCCCTGGCTACACAGGGACTCTTCCCACTCTGATATGATGTTACAGGTAACTCTCAGAGTTAAGAAAAAAATTACTGTCTTTGATATTTTCATGCAATTTATAGATGTGTTATTTCTCACCAAAATTCAAGATGTTAACTTATAGGAGACAATAGTGATATGCATAATCCATACAAATATTTTAGTCCTAATGGAATGAATTTTAGAGAATACACTAAATTTGGGAGAACGACAGTACCATACAAAGCATGGATGGGCTGGATTCTGGGTCCAGGACAAGAGAATCTGTGGAAAAAATTAGAGTGGGCTAAAAAATAAATAAATAAATAAAATTTAAAAATCGATATGCCCAGAGCATTCCAAGGGCTACCTGCCTGTTGGCCTATGGAATAACCCCTCCTTTTGCAATAAGAAAACTCCCGCTGTGCAAGGCAGCAAGGGCCGAATCCAGAATCTCTGCCCCTCAAATCATGAGAGTTTGCCCCTCCTATTTTTGAGGCCATCCCATAGTGATGACATAGCCTACCACTAGGGAACCTGCAATGGTGCAGTCCCCTAAAAACAGCTCTGCTGGTGGGCAGGCAGAGGGGCCATGTGATCTTTCACGCTTCTTTCAACTTAGCTGTAGTGCTGGGGCTGCAGCACGTCAACCCTCCCTCATCTTGAAGGGTTTCTTTGGCGTGTTATAAACCTGGATGTCTCTCAAGGCCTCAAATGTCAGCCTTTAAGAAGGGTGCTGACCCCTGATGTTGCTGGAACACACGGTATGGGCTCAAGAGCACAATGTGCCAGCACATCCTCACCTACACGGGTCCTGTGAATTTCACACTTGAAAGAAACATTTGCTTTGGGTGATTGCCTGTTGGTATGTCTGTCATTAACACATCTGATGAAAATTCTCATTTATCACTTTAACGGCCTCCAGAAATATCATGAAGGTCAAAGTAACACATTGCTTTGGTGAGGGGCTCAGAGGGAAATTTGCTGGAAGGGTGTAGCACCATATGGAGAAAAGTGGATTTGAACCCTTCATTGGGGCCTGAGGGCTTCCCTCTTAGTTTTCCAGCCTATCCTTCTTTCGTTTGTAAAATACAAAAAAAAAAAAAAAAAAGATATAGGAACACATTTGGTAATCTGTAAAGAGATATTAAAACACAGGTATTTATAAAAGTATGATTCCCAAGAAGGTAGGTATATAGAATTTTAATTAATCTTAGTTCTTATACTCAATTTGAGCTACTTCTGGATTAATTACTATTTAAAATAATGCTTTCCAAAATTTTAATTGTAACTAGAAAATTGGTTTTAAAATGCATTCTCATTGCCTTGATTAAAAAAATGTACTTAACATTTACTTCATTACTTTTTCCTTACAGGCATAACTGAAACTACCTAGAAAACTACAACTATTTCCTGGATCAATTAGTCATTTAGCTAGTGAGGCCATTGCTTTGCAAATATGTATAAACAAACTAGTTTATACATATTAAACACTTTAAAAATCCATGAATTTGATGTATGACTTTACCCAGGACATTTTTTTTTGGGGGGGGGGATACAGGTATTTAACTCAGGGGCACTCAACTACTGAGCCACATCCCCCACCCTATTTTGTATTTTATTTATAGACAGGGTCTCACTGAGTTGCTTAGTGTCTCGCTTTTTCGGAGGTTGGCTTTCAACTCTCAATCCTCCTGTCTCAGCCTCCAGAACCAGTGGGATTACAAGAGTGTGCCACTGTGCCCAGCCCTTTACCCAGGACACTTAATCTGCCTGGACCTATTTCTTCCTAACCATGTTTCAACAGCAAAAGTCTATTCTATCTGTAATGAAAATCTTGAGTGTTTATATTAAGAGCTGGTTTTGTTAATCAACAAGATCTAGGACCTAAGATTCTTCCTTTTCTGTAAACAAAGTTGAAACTCTTTTTTGGCTTTGTCTGTTTTAAATAAGAAGTCATCTCACTTAAAATTCATCTGAAAGTGCTTGACTGAGTATAAATATCCTGGCTGTGTTCCTGCCAAATTCTACAAAGATTGATTATAGTATTCATCAAGATTATGATTACAAGTTGCACTGTCCCTTTAAGTGTACAAGCACTCCCTGTTTTCCTAGAATGAATGCCCTATCCTCAATTAAGGAAATGCTCAAGAAATGGAAATGTTCCAAATTACACAAACCTGTATCACAAATCTGCGGTAAATAAATCTTAGACACAGGAAAATGTCCACATTAAATTCTTCAAACTCAAAACCACATAAAAAAATAATAAAGTCAAAACAACATGTAGGTGGTGGTATCGGTCAGAAATATTTTAGTTAAAAATATGGCAGCTAGTGGGTTTTACGCTATTTCATGGCATAAAGGGGGTGATAATAAACTGATCAGTTCTCTTTGGAGGAAAATCTATTTTCCAACCTCCCTGTTGAGAGTCAGGTGCAAATCTATAAAAACTGGTAGATCATTAAGAAAACATGAAACCAGTGGTATCCATACAGGACTGAAGAAGAGACGGCGTTTTGTAAATGAAATGCTTGAAAACGTTTCTCATTCTTGGAGACAGAAGTCAAATGCTAGAGTGTCCACTGGATGTCACTGAAGTCCCCGGGGTCCCCGAGGCCCCCCTCTGCTTCTAAGTAATTCATGAAAGCAGCCATGGCTGTGTCCTCATTGTCACACAGGGCATCGAAATCCAGCTGTGCGCTGTCACCTAGTGAATTAAAATACAGGCTTGCATAAGTGAAGGTTACCAAGGTCACACATTTCACAAACTTGGAGGTC